CGCACATTAATAAGACAGTTTTTACCAAGAAATCAAAAACATATAAATCTTCCATGAGGTACGAAATGGCATACATATAAACTTCCATGAGGTACGAAATAGTATACATATAAATTTTCCATGAGGTACTAAAATGATATACATGATAATATTCCATGAGGTACGAAATGGTCAGGGTACGAAATGGTTTTTGCCAGGGTACGAAATGGTTAGGGTACGAAATGACTATAATTCCCTCGAAAATGGCGACCAAGGAAAGTAACTCAAACTCAAACTACGTCATTCAAAATCTATCTATAGATAGACACTTTGGGGTATTTAGGCCAAAAAAAAATGTCTTGAAACAGTCTGTTTAGGGTTAAATCATCTAAAAAAATAGGGTAGGTAAGTCGGTATCTTCAATTTTTTTTTTTTTCCATTTTATTTTTGCAACATGATTTTGAGTAATGTGGTCCGTTTTTTCATGGTTCGAGTTGTCCATGGACTGAATTAATCCATATTTTGTTGGAAATAAAATCGACCAATTCAAATGGTGTTATGAACTACATAATGTACTATGACGTCGCCGTTTTTGCGCTTAAATAAAATTAATTCCACCGTCTTGAAATTTTCGTGCGTTTTTTTACCAATATTAAAAAATACGGAAGTTGAGCTTTTTTTGAGAAAATTATGAAAATAAAATTATGTAAGGATTCCTCTATAAATATTACTGATGTAAGTTTTAGATGTATTGAGTCTTAAATTCACTCTCTTTTTTCCTGCACTTTTGCGGTATGCATTTTAGGCTTACTTTCAGCCTAAAGTTATCATCAAGGGATTTACTTTAATAAAAATATATAAATGCAAGTAAAAATGTAAATACATAAAATATAGAATATAGAAATTAATTAAATCAGAACAAAATACCTTAACAAAGAAAGGTTGAGATAAAATGCAAATGATTTTTTTTTAAATCCTCAAAGACGTGAAAAGATGAAAAGTACGCCAAAAAGTGCAATATTCATTAATGATGTAATCAATCTAATGACGTCATCCATTAACACATCCATCGAATTATGGCTGATCCTAATCCCTGGTTTTGAGTTGATCCTCCTGAAGTTAGGGATCACACAGAATTTAATCATAATGTAGGATCTACAGGGTTTGACACTAACTAAATGTATGTACTAGCCTGCAGGGCTAATGAAATTATTATTCTTCTAGTCCTCTTGACTAGCCTCCAAGCGCCAAAGGCACTTGGACGGTCGTGCCACCGGCACAACCCTATCTTGGAGGGTCTGGGGGCATGCCCCCCAGAAAATTTTGATACAAATGAAGCTAAATCCTGTGTTCTGGAGCATTTCCAGAGGGTTTTGAACATGTTTTGTTTCATGAAATTTCACTGATTGGCTAATAAAAAATACCCCCCCAAAAAAAAAATTCATATTTTAATCATCTTTATCAAGAATGTGTTCGACTTATTTTGAAGACCCCTTTAGATCATTACTTCATCAACATCCTCATTTTACTTATCATTATTACTAGTGTCTTTAATGAAGATGGATAAGTTAGGGATTTAAAAATACACCCACAAAAGAGGAAAGATTTGCCCTTGCTGTTTTTTGTCATAATTCTTCATGGACTCCTTCTTTTCCCTTGTTTTTTCAGTTTTTTTTTTTTTTTTCCAGGACAAGATTTTATTCCTAAAAATCTGTATATTTTTACTAGAGACCAAGGAATTGTATAGTATACAAATCCTTGCAAAGACCTATAGTTTTGTTTTTATGACAATAATTCAGTGATATTGTTTGCCTCAAATTACATTCGAAATACAGCTTTTTCCCCTAGAGAAAATTCCCAATTACTAAAAAAATGGCTTAAAATTCCTCCCAATAAGATGTACATTTTTCCCAAAAAGTGATGGTATCGGTAGTAATGTATGTAAATTTCGTATTCATGTTATTATTTTGATATTATGAAAGCACTTTTGAGATCCAGGTTTCTGATTAGAATCATCACGGCGTTTGTAACACACATGGTTTTCAATGTATAAAGTACCATCATTGTTTCCGTTTCTTTCCCCTCCCCATAAAGTACCTTTCATGTTAAAAATGTCTTGACAATCAAAATATATGTGAATAAACTGTACAATAAAGACAGCAAAGGTCAGCAAAAAATCTGGGATTTGTTGACAATTAAAATTTTGACTAGCCCGTCGGACTACTGTGATGAAAACTTTACTAGCCCTCCCTTATTTTTACTAGCCTCAGGCTAGCGGACTAGCATTAGTGTCAAACCTTGAGTCCTAAAAGAATGCAACAGAGAAATTCCAGACCCACTGAATATTTCATGCTGATTTTCACAATTGATTTGATGAAGAAGTTTGTCTTGGAAACAAACGGATATGTGTAAGCCCATGTTCCATTTAAATCGACACCATTGAATTTTAATGCACGGAATAAATTTCAATGAAAAAACTTTACTGCATCCAATTTTTTAGATCAATGCGGCATACGTTAGGAAAGGCTGAACAGTAAACAGAAATAACTAGATATCATTGAGATGGGAGCCATCTCTGTGGGCCCCACTGTGAATAATGTGTGGTAAAAGTTTGTATCTTTATCATTGGACATGGGGTTGTCAACTGAAACCAAAGTTTTTGACCTAGGAAGTTGTACATACATTATGACACACCCTCTGGTGTTGGTTAATATACATGTCAAGTATAAACTTTGAAATCATAACGGTTCTCTAGATATAGAGTGGACACAATTTGTTGTATCTTTATCATTGGACATGGGGTTGTCAACTGAAACCAAAGTTTTTGACCTTGACCTTTGACCTAGGAAGTTGTACATAAATTATGACACACTCTTTGGTGTTGGTTTATATACATGTCAAGTATAAACTTTGAAATCATAACGGTTCTCAAGATATAGAGCGGACACCATCTTTACCATAGGACATGGGGTTGTCAACTAAAACTAAAGATTTTGACCTTGACCTTTGACCTCCGAAGTTGTACATACATTATGACACACCCTCTGGTGTTGGTTAATAAACATGTCAAGTATTAACTTTGAAATCATAACGGTTCTCTAGATATAGAGCGGATACAATTTGTTACGGACGGACAGACTGATCACTATAGGGCGTCTGCCATTCGGCGGGGCCCTAATAAATCAAGGTTTGGATACAAGAGATACAAATAAAAAAAAAAAATGTGGATAGTGGACACATGTGGACACTGATGATGCCCCCACTTGCATATCATATAGTTTTAAAGGGACATAACTGAAGAACGGTAAAAGTGACGCTACCCAAATTTGAACTTGATCTGAGTTTTGTGGTAATAAGCATTGTGTGTAAGTCTCATAACATTTGGTTGAGGCTAACTTAAGTAGAGAACAGAAACTAAAAATTCAGCATTTTTTCTTTTTGTAAACACGCATAACTCTAGAACGGTTGTGTATAAGTTTTATAACATTTGGTTGAGACAAACTAAAAAATTCAGCAATTTTTATGTTTTTAAAGGGACATAACTCAAGAATGGTAAAAGTGTTCTCACCAAATTTCGTACTTATTCTGTATTATGTAGTACAGTCGACTCCACTTAATCGCATACCGCTTAATAGCATAATTCGGTTAATTGCATAATTTTCTCCTGCACAAAACCATTTCCCATTCATCTAATGTTAAATTATCCGGTTATATGCATAGCCTTACAAGTGGCCTTTCGGTTAATTGCATAGAAAATAATTGCCGGCTAGATATGCTTAGTTCAAACTGACCAGATTTTTTACCAGAAACAGCAATTTGGTAAGTATATTTTTCTTGAATGTATCATTATTTTCGTTATTATTTCATATTCACTTTTGTGTTATTAAAATAAAGTTTTAAAACAGTTTCTTTCGTGTTTATATGATGGAGGTTTACTTTAAAATAACCCTCGATGTGTACACAGGTGAAGTTTCCCATGTTCTAATTCAGGCCTCGAGGTCATAAAATGTCAAACAGGTAATTGTTGTAAAAACACGACAATTCTATCCCAAAAGGTGTTAATTATTGATTGGATTTTAAGTATTGTCCATAGATTACATTTGGGGTGAATTTTAAAAACAACAACGCCTGCTAATTTACTTTGAAAGACCAGGGTGGGTCTTTTCACCACGGAACACCGCCAAACACCCAAAAAAACCATCAACCACTAAGAAAATCAGTGATTTTATACAATAAAACGGTAAAATCAATTAAATTTTAAGTTGTTTATGTGCATCATTTTTCTTTTAAAGTCGATTATCAATATAATCAATATAAAGAAAAACTTCTCCTGATTCATCACTATTTTTCCGGATTACATTGTGTGTGTATAAGCATGATAAGAATCATTTGACATCTATTACTGATGAAGGATATTAGTTATCCGAAATAATTAACATTTGTTCATGTCTCTTTTCTTATTATTGGTACAACTATTTTATAAAAGAAGAAAAATAAAATGCTCTGCTGGGCGCAGCTTGATACGACCGCAGAGGTCGAACCCTGAACAGTTGGGGCAAGTATGGACACAACATTCAAGCTTAATACAGCACTGAATTTGGATTGTGATTAAATATTTGACACAGCATAGGTTTCTGACACAGAATGAATGTGGTCTAAGAACTTATAAATTATTAATTGACCTATTCAAACCATATCATTATTATTTGCTTTTACATATAAATCAGAAATAACCAATTTAAAATGGAAAATTTTAAAGAAAATAAAAGGAAAAAAAATCCCTTCCCCAAATTTTTTGAACCCCCTTATGATTCATCACCCCCAAACTCAATCCCAGCCTTCCTTTTGTGGTATGGTACCTTGCAGTACAATTTCAGAGAGATCCATACACTTGAACACAAGTTATTGTCTGGAAACTAGAAAAATGCTTGTTTTTAGGCCCCTTTTTGGCCCCAAATTCCTAAGCGTAAAGGGCAATTACCCCCAAACTCAAACCCAGCTTTCCCTTTGTGATATGGAACCTTGTAGTACAATTTCATAAAGATCCATACACTTACACACAAGTTATTGTCCTGAAACTAGAAAAATGCTTGTTTTTTGCCCCTTTTGGGCCCCTAATTCCTAAAATTTTGAGGCAATTACCCCCAAAATCAATCCCAGCCTTCCCTTTGTGGTATGGTACCTTGCAGTACAATTTCAGAGAGATCCATACACTTGAACACAAGTTATTGTCTGGAAACAAGAAAATGTTTATTTTTGGCCCCTTTTTGGCCCCTTATTCCTAAACGTTTTGGGCAATCACCCCCAAACTCAATTCCAGCTTTCCCTTGTGATATGGAACCTTGTAGTACACACAAGTAATTGTCATGAAACTAGAAAAATGCTTGTTTTTTGCCCCTTTTTTGGCCCCTAATTCCTAAAATTTTGAGGCAATTACCCCAAAATCAATCCCAGCATTCCCTTTGTGATATGAAACCTTGTGGTACAATGTCAGAGAGATCCATACACTAACACACAAGTTATGTCTGGAAGTTACAAAAATGCTTATTTTTGGCCCCTAATTCCTTCACTGTTGGTACCATAACCCCCAAAATCAATCCCAACCTTCCTTTTGTGGTATTGAACCTTACAGTAAAATTTGTTCTAATTTTGTATCCCTGGTAAAGGAAATGTCAGTACGCAAATAAACTAAAACAAAATGTGTTTATAAACTTTATTAAAAGATTACAATATACAATAACATGAATAACACTAGACTTATAACTTTTATCAGAATAAATCAACATTTGACATGTTGTAAGTGGATTATGGCCGTTCATTTTTCTTCAGGGATTTCCTTTACTATCGATGTTATTTGACTCCGTAATTTGGCATTTCGGATATAAGCATACTCCGCTTAATTGCATAATTTTGTCTTCCAAATAAGCTATGCAAATAACCAGAATCGACTGTAATAAGCATTGTGTATAAGTTTCATAACATTTGGTTGAGGCAAACTAAAGTTAGAAAACAGAAACAAAAAATTTGTACTTGATCTTAGTTTTGTGGTAATGAATATTGTGTATAGGTTTCATAATGTTTGGTTGGGGCAAACTTAAGTTACAGAATGGAAACTAAAAATTTTGCAATCTTTCGATTTATAAAGGGGCATAACTCAATAATGGTTAAAGTGACACTACCCAAATTCAACTTGATCTTTGTTTTATCAGTGGAAGTCAAAATTAAACATTGCATTGTATAAAGCATTGATTGTAGTTGATTCAACTATAATCATGGACAAAGGAAGATAACTCAAATTTTAAAAATTACTTGATATTTAGAAGAAAACAAAAATTTTGCACTTTTTCCATTTATAAAGAGGCATAACTCTAGAACGGTTAAAGTGACGCCACCAAAATTCAAACTTGATCTGTGTTTGTGGTAATAAGCATTGTGTATAAGTTTCATAACATTTGGTTGAGGCAAACTCAAGTTAGAGAATTGAAACCAATTTTGGAACGTATGTACGTACAGACGGACAAGGGTAAAACCTAATGCCCCCAACGCTACGGTGGGGGCATAAAAAAAGATCAAACAAAAGCAAAACGCAGGGAACGGAGCTATGGATTTCATCATGAAATTAATATTGCATTTATCGTGGGAAAACGCATTGTCCAGTATTGCATCGTAAAAAAGCTTCTTGAGCATACTGGCCAAATTAACATTCCAGGTCAACATGACATTTTAATGGATACATGCAACAGGTTTCTTAGTGAAAGATATGTTTTTTGATCGGTGCATGTGTTTACTCATTTATTAGTTTGTCCCTTCTTATCCCTCCACAGTCTTTCTTAAAAAAGAAAAGAAAGAAAAAAATTTGTGACAGTACATTCCGACAAAGCACGCTTAATTTGATGTTAAACTATGGATGTTGACAGAAGCTATTGTAGGGTATTGTTTTCACTTCAATGTTTACAAAGGAAAAAAATATGATCCCACTCCAGCAGGAGAGACCCAAGGTTCAAATGTTGTTACATCATTACTTCGCGCTGCTGGTTTACTGTATAAATGGTACCATGTGTTTTGCAACTCGTTTTTCACCTCTTTAGCTTTAGCAAAACGATTGTTAAACTAACATACATATGCAACTGGAACTGTGCGTATTAATGGCCCGTTACCAAACCTTATCAAATCGGCAAATTTAAGGCCTTCCCAGAGTATGTTTATGCGGAAGCAGGAAATTTTGGTATGTGTGTTTAAGGAAAAAGAAAAGCGCAAAATTAGTTGCAAACCGAAAACCTAAAATGATAACGGAGTACAATAAATATATGGTAGGCATCGACTTGTATGACATGCTCACTAGTTTTTACGAGGACGGTCGAAAATGTGGAAGAAGATCGTGTTTAACATTATACACATGACGGTCATAAACGCATATATTTTATATCAACAGAACTCCGACAATGTGAAATCTCGTCTCCATTTTATACAATTATTAATTGATGACCTTTCCGAAGATCATATGACAAGAAATACTGCCAATCTTAGGGTCTTGAATGATGAAAGAAACAACCAACATTTGAGAAAATTGTTCTGTATGTACGGTACGAAATATTAATGTTCCTGGTGGCAGGAAAAGGTCGAAACATAAATGTGTTCTCTGTCATAAAGGTGTTCATAAAACATGTTATAAGAAACACAGCAGACGATGTAACGCTGATGAATAAAATATCTTTCTTGATAAATGTTTATGAATCTTGAATGTTGTATCCCCGGCTCATATAATGAAATTATTCATAGAGAATAATCACAAAATTTCTTTTATAAGTAGTGACAAATCCATCTATTTTCTCATGTATAGAAAACATAAAACAATTTATCATCACCCCTCCCCTCCCCCCCAGACTTGTACAGTTGTATGAGAAAGATAGTAGCATATACATGGGAGTGTGTGAAAAAGATAAATTCCATATTAGTCTGATGTATATATGTATGTGTGTGTGTGTGTGTGTATATAGTATCCTATGCGTTTTCCGTTTGACCTCTTTCAAACTTTCATCACCCTCAATGGGCTCATCAAGCATGTCTATAATTTGTCAGTATTGATCATTGATGTTGTTGATAAATGAATAAAATACTGACTCAAAATAGAGATTACTAAACCATTGCTATAGGAATTTAAAACTGATTGATATTGTATTCTCTCATGTCTTTACCTAAACATTTGTTTCAGAAAATATCGGATTGTGTGTGTGTTTGAAAACAGAGAACAGCTTCAGCAACTTCATTGCGCATGCGTTTGATGCACGTGTTGGATTTGATTCACCTTCTTTTAAAAAGAGTTTATAAAGCTAGCGGTGCGCTCTCTAAAATAGATAGATACACTTTGATTTTATTCATTTTTATAAATTTGCAACAAAATTACGAATCTATGTCCGTATATATATATCTGATAAAAAAAATTAAAAAAAAAACATCCGAACTTTAATGATTCTTTCAGTGTCCGGTCATACAAAGAAGGGACCGATTATTTATTATGTTCCAACCCATTAAACAAATTCCTCACCCCGGGTATGCCTCCGGTGAACTTACTGACTCTAGTGCATTCTTAAGAGTTACAGATCCTGTTACCAAAAGATAAACTTGTTTAGTCCCAGCAGACCCTTTTGAGGTTGTGCCAAATTCCTACTCCTAATGTCTAGTCCTACAGAATTAATTTCCCGTTAATATGCATGTCGTATTGATACCAACATATTACTTTTAGGTCCACTTTAATGAAAAAATGTACTCATTTCGTTTTGATACTGAATTTATTGCATATCAGTTCATGGTCAAAAAGCCTCGTATAATTATTTACACAAATTCTTTGCGTGTAATTGGTCTCTTTTTCTTTACTTTAAATATAAGCAACCTTTTATTTTTGTATATTGTTTTCTGATAATACATGCATTAGTTTAACATACTTCGTATATTTAGGGAACACATGTTAATTTAAGCAATGTTGGTAGTTTCCGATAGCTAACATTTTCTATATCATTTGCTTCAAGTATTAAAAGAGTTGAAAAATATACACTGCCTGTAACCGAGTACGGCAGAAAGTGATTTTCCCCGATTGATTACTGATTTTTCCCGATTTTCCTATGTAGAGAACATCAAAAGGGTAATTATATATGAATTAAGGAAAATCTGTGTCAATAATTATGCAACCTTCCTTTTCATTCATACATTTTTATCATTGACCTCCCATGGGCAATATGGATTTTGATGACCAATCCTAAAAATAGATTAGGAAAATACTAAAAAAAATATGATTTCAATTTCTGATGCAGTGTACTGATTGTCCACTATCAGTGTACAGATTGTCCACTATCAGTGTACAGATTGTCCCAGAGAAGATGAAGTTTTAAATTACAGATTTTCCCCGATTTTCTCTTATAGAATCATAAGGAAAAAGGTTTATTCTAAGTTTTATTTTTAACTGTTACTTGCAAGAAAATATCAACATAGCTTTAATAGCTTTCTAAAAATGTCATCTTTGAAGAAATAGTAGCTCACCATCAGAAGACACATCCATCCGAAAAACTTGTCATTTGGAGAAGACTTGAAGACGGTGGTGAAAGATAACATACCATGCATTAATTCCAGAACTTCTTGACAGAAAAGGATTTTTTTTTATTAAAATACAAGATGAAAATATTATAATTTGTAACTTATCAACAAATACACCACAAAAGATTATCAAAAAAGGCAAATCATCACAATCTCCAACCATTTCAGACAATTTATCAAATTTACCAAACTATGAATCCAGAAATATACAAACAGTAAGTTATGAACCCCAAGCAAGAAGAAACCTGCTTAAAGTTTCTTAACCAACCAATGAAACATAAATGAACCAAAAAATCTCTAATTCAATTTTATATATAAAATTGTAGAATTACAGGTTTGCAGGAAAATTTTTCATATATTCCACTATTTTTATTAGAACATGCCTAAGTGTAATGAAGATCCACATATTAGCTTTATTTTTTAATGAGTAGCTTTTTCAAAATCGGGGACAATCTGTATAGGTATCAGGGAAAATCTGTAATCAACACAAGCTGATCGGGGACAATCTGTACACCAAAGCTGAAGTTTAATTACTATTTTTTTCACCATTTAAAAGCTTATTATGTCCAAATTTCTACTTGCTTTTTTCAGATTATTATATTTGAAAAAAATTTCATGAAAAAAAAATAAATTGATACTCCCAGTTTTCTAAAAGCAGACTAAAACAGATTTTTTTTACTCAAATCAGCTGCAACAGCATCAAAACAAAGAATAAGGAAGGTCATGATGTAACTTCAAAGCAAATCACTTACTAATGACTATACTGACCAGACAGAATAAACGATCTTTACCAATTGATTAGTTCAAGCTACTTAAATTAAATAACAGAACTATAGTGTAAATTTTATCATGAAAAATCAGTACAAAATCGAGGAAAATCAGTACTATAATCGGGGGAAAATCACTTTCTGCCGTACTCGGTTATAGGTAGTGATATAACTCTATATAAAGTATATGACTTGTTGAATCATATAATAAACAAATTATCGTTTAAGCCATATTTATAAATTATCTACTTTAACAGGTCCCATCAAATTACAAACCTTGGATTATACATAATTAAGTACTTTTAAAATAACAGACTGTGCGAAAACATTAATTTATCAACATCAGAGACATATATACAATTGTATAACATGGAAGGTTTAATAGTTCAGCGCGTGTGTCCGACGAAGAATCAAAGGAGCGGATTATACAATTATCTGTTTCTTTTCATGCCTAACTGTTATAATTAACATTGTAAAAACAATGAATTTTTTAGAAATGGCTTCGGTAAGAGATGGGCTTGTGTGATTTTTACAATTAATTTGGAATCCATTGCTAATCGTTACGCGGAAAGATGAAAGAGGCAACATAAGAGAATGTTGGCTTGTTGTTTTTACAAAGGAATCTTTTAAAATTGCAATAACTCAATTTTTTATATCATTGAATGTTTTCTACTTGTTGTTGAAACAACGTTTAACACAGTGAATCCCTAGAATTAAGGTAGGCAGTTATTGTGTTTTATATCTGGTTCTTTTTCATATGAAATTATAAATATCTTTCAGGGAGGTTCTCGTAGCTACCGTTTAATTTATCCCGCAAATACATCTTATGTACAATGTCTGTTATAAATGAAACCATTTTTTCTTCATCGTACATTTGGCTAGAACAGACTAAGAGACATGTAACAAATGTTTAGGCTAGACCATGTACAAGAATTCCATTCTAAACTATAGATGGCAATAAAAACGATCCCGGTGATCAATATAAACGATTTTGACACTCAAATGTTCCATAACTGCTCGAAAAGGATTAATTATCGTATCAACAAAACTGAACAAGCTTTTGAAAATACTCTAGATTGAAAAAAATCATGCACATATGTTATATTAAATTTCGAATGATGAATCACCGATTCCGCAAAATGTGACCATGTGAATATATGATATTTAAACCCTTTTCAATTTTTATAGTTCGTTCTTATATTGTACGTTACGCCACTTTCCCAGGTTATGGGAGGGTTGGCGCCTGCAAACATGTTTAACCCGTTCTGTATGTACCTGCATGTCCAAAGTCAGGAGCATATAATTCAGTGGTTGTCGTTTGTCGCTGTATATCACATTTGTTTTTCGTTTAATGTTTTGTACATAAATCAAGCCGTTTGTTTTCTCGTTTGAATTGTTTTACATTTGTCATTTCGAGGCCTTTTATAGCTTCCTTTGCGGTATGGGTTTTCCTCGTTGTTGAAGTCTGTACGGTGACCTATAGTTTTTTTTAATTTCTACGTCATTTGGTCTCGGATTGACAGTTGTCTCATTTGTAATCATACCACATCTTCTCATTTTAAATTATTTAGAGTTTGTGTAAAGCAAATGCCATCGGTGATGCATATCATCACTAAATCACATGCAAATGTTTTAAACTGATAAAAAAAAGTGTTGACAGAAATTTACACCAATTGCAATACGCTAAATAGAATTCAATAATATCATGAATATAGTTCAAAATCCAAATAAACGAAATTATGTTCATAAAAAACCTTTAAAAAAGGGATAATTTTCATTATTGAAACAACCTTTTTACCTCATCTTGCTTTCTCTCTTTCACAAGTCAACTGTATGTTGTATTATATATTTGTATTATTTATCATATAGTTTTCTTATGAACTTTAACCATGGCGATTCAAAATGACTTTCGACCGACAATTTGTATAATAATTGATACGCTTGATAAGATAGTTTTGAATCCTTTCCAGATAAAAGTCGTGTCCAATATGCAATCATTTTAGCTTGATATCTAGTTGAACAGGAAAAATGCCAAGTTCACCATTAATCATATAGTTTGGGGTGGATTCTTTTAACCTAAGTAACAATTTACCAAATTGTAATTGTACCCTTTCGATGCATTGCATATTTTTACAAAATCCCCATACATCTGAGCCATACAAAAGAATTGGCTTTACCATTTTATTAAACAGTTCTACATGACATTCGATGGATAAATTATGAATGCGACCTCTTTTTAAAACCTCATACACTGCTTTTGTTGCCTTCTCTGCTTGCTTATTTATTGCTTTACTGAAATTTCTGGTCCGGCTAAATAGTATTCGAAGATAGTTAAATTCGTGAACTATCTCTATGTCTGCCCCATATTACAGTACTCTCCAAATTTGTTCAATATTTTTTGTAAGTCTTCTTTTGATTCAGACAGAAGGACCGTGTCGTCTGCATATAGGACAAAAAGTTTCAGGTAAATGATCAACTTGTCTTCTAGTAAATCCGAAGTCTCGTTTAGACCCTCAAGATTTTCCGTTTCTAAAAAAACTTGCAAATCATTCAAAAAGAGGGCAAACAGAAAAGGCGACAAAATCGCACCTTGTCTTACCCCAATATCACATGAGAAATAGTCTGATTTGTGATAATTATATGTAATACAAGACTTAATATCTTTGTACATATTTAGAATGACATGATATATTTTTCCTAATACCATTTAAAAGTAGTTTATACCAGAGAGCCTCTCTCCAAACCGTGTCGAACGCCTTTTCAAAGTCGACGAATGCGCAGAACAGTTTCTTATTTCTATATTTCAAAATTTAAAAAAATGAGTATAAAGCAAAAAGACTATCAGTTGTCGAGTACGAATTTCGGAATCCAAATTGGTTTTCATTCAACAAGAGTTTTCATCAGAGAAACGACATA